TTTCGTAGGTTGATAAAATCCTATCCTCCATACATTAAGAAACCCCGTTTACGATGAGTTATGAACAACCGGAGTATTGCCAGATCGCATCGCGACTGAAATCGCGTGATGTGCCCGGGGCCTAACGTGGAGATATTACAAGTTATTTTTGTATTCAGGGAAAGTCCGCAACCCGCCTCGACAAGAATGTGGGAGCCATGCTATCTTTGTTCACTAGACACCACTCTTTTGAGCAGGACTGCGATACCACCAGTACTGCTCAAACAATTCGTAACCGCATGCCTGGATACACAGCTATCACTCATTCTCTGACTAGGAAACACGAGCATGCTTTGCGTACCCTCTCATCAACAAGTTCATGCCATGTTCTTACAAGAGCCTAATACTAGATCAACCAAAATGCGTTTGAACTCAACCATGAACTTGTTAATCAAACGTAGGCAAAGCGTGCTCGTGTCTCTCAGAGAACTATAACTTTGACTGGCGTCTGAGCCTGAAGATAGCAGATCTTCCGATACTCAAACAATGTAAAGAATGCAGAATTTTGAGAACTCGAAACTTAATAAATCAATATCAAATCATCAAAAACAACAAGAACCAACTTACAGCCAAATTCGACACTAGACCAGCACAGCGATTATCCAAAAGATCACTGATATTCAGAAACTGCTCCAGGAACTGAACCTTTGCTTCCGGCTCCCAATTAGGCAGCACTTCTAGTGCATTGCATATCTTACGATAGGTTATCGACGCAACTGCATCGCCCTTGAAAAGTTTGAACTGAAGCAGATAGATAAGAGAATTTTTGCGCCTTACCTGTAAATATAATGAGATAATCTCTCTACCAGTAGTAGCTTGTTTTGGTTTGGCATCTATGGTCTTGCCAATAGACGTTTCTTTTCGTAATGCCTCGTCCTTTACAATATCGATTTTCGAAGTCATCTTGTCTTTCTATGCAGCAGCTTTTAGAGATTTTAGGTCTGAAAACTGAACTGTAAAACATCCGTATTGCAGTTAGACTTGACTCACAGTGGTTTAGCGTCAGTCTTTATTGAGAGACGCAGACTCGTTGTCACTACGCTGTTCTCATGCTACCCAAATCTGAAACAAAC